ATAAACTATCATTTTTTAAAACATTAGTTTAATGAAATTAAATTAAAAAAAACTTTTCATGCGCGTACATATGTACTTATAAAAATTAATTTCATAATTCATTATTTAAAATTATTTCTTCATTATTTTTTAATTATATTTTATTATGTTCGTTTCATGTTCATAATACAAATTAAATATAAATTTGTAAGAGCGTTTTCTAACACGCGCAAAAAACGACGCACTTTTGTACAATATAGAAAAGTGGCAACTGTTACTCAGCGCGATTCACGAATACCATGACAAAATGAGACTGTATTGGTGTGCCCATCTATGCTTTAAAGATAAGTTCACTAGCAGTTCGTTGAGCTCAATGAACTAGCTCTTCTGAGCCTTAGTTCGTTTACCTTATTGAACTATAGTTGGCCTAATTGAACTAGTTCGGTAGTAAGAACAACAAAAATATATTTTTTAAAACACATATAAAACATTGCTACAACCACACAATTCAGTCGCATTTCTCCGAAATCACGAAAGGAGGTTCGAAATGCGAATGAATTGCGCTTCGCTTTGGCCTGTTTAAGAGAAAGTTTTTTGTCAAACAAAATACTTTTTAACGCAAATTACACTAACCAATGTAAAGCATTTTTAAACTTGAATTTTATCTTGAGGATTTCGATAATAGCGAAGGATACATATATGTGTTATAAATTATAGAACCCGAAAGTCTTCGTTCTGGCTCAACCGGAAATTAACTTGCCGGCCTTCAAACAATTGGGTAGGGTATTATAATCGGAAGTCTCCTGAAGAGAAACAGGGGTTTCCTATCGAAAAATATTCATTTTCAAGAATTCTATACCATTTCTACGAAAAATGTTTTTTTCCCCCCCATATATGTACTTAAAATACATGGAAAAATTGAAGCGCTGTGAGCCACCTCTAAATCTTTTTTTGATTGACCTAAAACTTGGTATAGATTAGTTTCAGGCAATTCGCACATTTCTAGGAGGTGACACCAAGAATCCGAACGCTTTTTTTTCCAATAAATTATATTAGGGCCACCCTAATGTACTTGATATAGATTAGATTTGTTATTAACAATTGTTGTTATTGTAGCGCCTACTTAACCTTGCCTAGGTCGGCAAGTCTTTCAACTATTGCGACAAATCTCAATTATGGTCAGCCAAACGCAGAGTGGTGTTAATTGAATGGGTTTAAGTGGGCATATCAAGTAGGGAGTCGTGTCTAGCCAAATAGGAATTTAATCGGGATAAATAAGAAGCTGAAGCTCTCCTTCTGCAATGGTTGCTGGTTGAACTCCGATGATGGCATTAACGAGGCGAGAGTTGGTGAAGGTGGTGAAGCGCCGGGTCCAGTAGCTGCGGTGCGTGGTCTTGGATCTCGTCCATAATTTCATAATGATGTCCTCTCGCGGAGAGATAGCCGTTTAAGCACAGTCATCAATGCCATTGCCTTACACCAATATCAATAATACGTCAGCGTATGGGATCAGGGAAGCTCCCTCTGGTGATTCATGAGTTACGATGCATCACATCACACTGTGTGATCGCTTAGTTAAGTTTTCAGAGTTCCGATTTTTGGTCATGAAAAGTTGCTGACGATTGCTGATCATTCATTTAGGTATTTCGTCATTCAACGTGTGAGTTCTTGTGGAAAAGATGAGACGTCAATGTATTTTAGGCAGCGGAATGCGTTACATACTCGTACCGGTTTGAAATTTATTTTCCGAGTATTGGTACACATTTTTAGATCGTCTGAAAATACTAGTGTGTACATATGTATGTATATGCCAAGCGCAAAAAAAAAAATGGTATGAAAAAGGTTCTCCATGAATTAAATTTGAGCGTTAGCAAAAACTTGCGTATACAACTCCGCTTCTATCTGAAACGAAATAAATGCGCTACAATCGAATGCATAAAACAAGTTCTATGTACATATTACCCACACATCTACATAAGTACATATCGTTCATTTACTAAAAGACTGTCACAACTCAAAAAGTGATGCTAATTCAGCTCGTTATACCATATTTCATGGTATACTAAAATTTCCATGCTTAAAACTTGCATTATTTCCGCGAGATGCATCTGCATGGTAAGTCTAAATTTTCATAAATGAGCTATGCGCACAGATGTATGTACGTATGTATGTATATCTCTGCGAAACACAAACAGCTGAGAGCAGATTGGGAAAACCATTAACCGGTAAATCATAAAATCAAGAGTTGTGAATGCAACTGCGATTCGATTCATAAAAACTCTGAACTATAAAAAAAATATCGCTGGAAAAAGCTCACATTTTTACCTGCTTCCGGTGCGATTGTGAAGTTGGCATCGAATCATTTAGCTATCAGCTGGTCATCATCCTAAATACTTGAAAGTTGTTAAGTGTAAATACTTATATGTATATGTATGTCTGCGCCTAAACAGTATACATACCCTGTATGGAAAATCTCTGGTTATATGTAATTTGGTTTACTTTTTCCGCTTTTAGAACCACAGACGAGTTCGCGATCAATTTGTTTTCATGGCTGGGTTAGCCATGTCAAAAGAAATGGAAATTACTTCTCCTACTCATCAATAACACAGATCCAGTTCTAAATTCCTTGGTATAATAGAAGTATTCTGCTCTGCATCAATTTTACGACTGTTTTGAACTACATAGTTCGCCCTACATTAGCTTTGCGACAGATGCGCACTACTCCGTAAATCTTCGGATCGTTTTGTGAAGCCAGGGAAAAGGTATTACTTTTTTGATTGAAAAACTATTTTTTCCCCTCTGGTAGTTTTTATTTTGAATAAAAATAAAAATATCTAATAATTTTTTCACTTTAAAAGCTTTGTGAAACTGGCTATTGTTTTATTTTTTGTTAATTGAAATTTTACGTTTTTGTACTATTTATTAATGCAAAAATCCACGTTAGGCCCAGGCTAACTTGAACCTTACGGTTTCAAGGGTAATTTTCTGATTTTCGGAAGTTGCGGGCGTTATTAGGAGTGCTGGGAAACGATTTTTGTCCTGTCTCTCCCCCTTAAATTTGTAAAGACCCTCCCAGTACCGCCCAATATCCTGTGGCCATCTCTAGGTGATACTGAAATTTGAATGGAATTGAAATTAAATATAGAATTGGTGTCTAACTGTTTCGGAGTATTAGAAACACGTACATGAACATACATATGTAGGTGTGTTCATTAATAATGCACATGCAGTATCGCAGTCTACTGTGTTGAGTATCGTCTGAAGTTAAAAGTAAATATATCGCACAAAAGCGGTGAGTACTTATCTTGATACTTCTACATATATTTTTTCATATCGTTACTTTAATACTGAAAGGCTTTATTTAAAGATTTAATTATTTTTAAAATCTATTCGGTTCTCACTAAGTAATCTACTACCGATTTTGGAGCAAATTTTAATTTTGTACGCAAATGAATTAGGGCTTTTCCGTATTTCGTTGACGATGTAAAAAAAAATAAACATAATCCCTGCCAGAATTTTCTACTGCAGAAGTTATTAATTCGACACAACATTTTGGTGAAAATCATCGCCGATGATATCGCTATTTTATCGAATTCCTATCCGCTCTCGGGAAGAACTGTTCCAGCAAAACGTCACGTCTTTATGATACGATTGCGATTGATATCATAAATAGTTGTGTCAAATTTGAGGACGTTAGCATAAGTGCTTCCAGAGATAAGCGATGAGAATTTCAGTTTGTATGGGCGGTGCCACGCCCCATTTCCCATTTTCTATGACTTTTCGCCATAAGTACGTTATTGATATCATAAATGGTTGTGTCAAATTTCAAAATGTTAGCATAAGTGGTTCCAGAGATGAGCGATATCAGAATTTCAGTTTGTATGGGCCATGCCAACTTTTCCAAAATTTACCACTCTTCGCCATAAGTGCGCTATTGATATCATAAATAGCTGTGTCATGTTTCAAGACGTAAGCATAAGTGGTTGCAGAGATAAGCGGTATGAGAATTTCAGTTTGTATGGGCGGTTCCGCGCCCCGTTTCCCATTATCTACCACTTTTCGCCATAAGTACGGAATTGCCAAGTTTCAGTTCCCCAGCGTGATTTCTTTTAGAGATATAGTGGTTTTCACAGTTTAGTCTATATGTCAGATGCCACGCCTCCTATCTGTAGGGATTAACATTTTTTTTTTTTTTTTAGATTGGCGCTTACACATATGTTAGTGTTTGGCCGAGCTTCTCCTCCGTTTTGTTGCGTGCGCCTTGATATTGTCACACAAAGAGGAGGGGCCTACAGTTTTACGCCGACTCCGAACGGCGATTGTATTTTTATGAGAAGCTGTCTTTCATGGCAGAAATGCACTCGGAGGTTTGCTATTGTCTGCCGAGGGGCGACCGCTGTTAAGAAAAAACCTGTTTTCATATTTTTGCGATGAGCTTTGACCAGCGCTTTCTGGATTAGAGGAAGTTATATACTTTAAATCGGTATATGCTTCATTGAAATCGAGCGAACGGTGCGTTCAAAAAAAATTTGCAAAATTTTCCTGCGGCGTATTTATATATAAAAAAAAATATATAACGAAATTCCGTTGACAACATTGAAAAGGTGGGAAAATGGAATAGGATGGTATATAGTATTGAGAATATTGGACAATTTGAAAATTCTACTATTAATTTAGATTGCTTGGTAAGGTAAAAATATCAACATATTTGAGTTCCTGGCTAAAAACTACCCCTAGAAACCTGGGTATTTTTTCGAAATAGCCCGAAATAGCTTCCAATTATACACATTTTGAGTTCTAAGACGATAATAGATTTGTATCAAAATGTTTTGACGTTCAAATACGATTCGCTAATCCGATATTTAAGACATTGGGGGGAGTCTTTGAAAAAATATCCGTGGACATGTAGAGCAAGCAGCTCGTTTCTCTACTAATACCATGAAAAGATGAAAAAAAAATTTTTTTTTGAACCGGTCTAATGTACATATTTATGCATGTGAAGTAATGATAAATATCTACAAACGGCTAAAACAATTATGGCACTTCAGATTCGTCGGTTGACGCAAACTGCTGACATATCGCCTTTTGGTTGAACAGCCCATCGGCGCACTGGCACTCGCTCAACTCATAGCGCCACAATATCGATGGGCTCAGTGATCGGTGACGGCCCCTCAGCTTTGGTATTGTATCTACAGAACGGATTGCAACACAATAGATTTACATACATACATATGTACATATATACTTAAAACAAATTTAGAAAAAATAATACAAAATGCAAGATTGGCTGAGAATTTCTTGCCTGTTGTGCATTTGTGGGTTTGCACGCGAAATTCGTCCCTCCGAGCCATACCTGACGGAGTTTTTGCTGAATGGTGAACGGAATGTTACCATGGATGAGGTATGAAATTAACGAAAGCGAAAAGCTTACACACACACTAAATAAAGATCTCAAAACGAATGTACGACATATGCATGATTCAATAATAATAATAATTTTCCAGCTGAGACGCGAAGTTTTTCCCGTAGCAGCCTACTCCTACCTCTCAACGATTGTGATAATTTTCCTCATTACAGACTTTCTGAGGTAAGTTGCGCGTTGTTGTTTATTGCTTTGTGAAACCAAAAAAAAAAAAAAAACACAAAACAATTACAGTTAAACACGCTGAAATTAATACCAGCCGCTATTTTATGTTGTGTAGAAAATGACGATATATTTTAATTGTGGTTCTTTGCTTAGCAGATTTACCAAGAAAATAGTGACTCTTTAACCAAAGTTTCCTGGTTTAAATTGTTAATATAATAAATTTAATATTTTTTTTTAGAGGATATTTATTTTTCTTCAAGGGGAAAACCTCATCAAAAGAATTTAAAGTCGTTTTTGTTATCATTTCGTTTTTTTAATGATTGATAATCAAAAGTGAGCTAACGGTTTTTTTGTTTAATATATGCAATGTTTTTCAAGTAAAATATTTTTTTTTTTTTTTTTTATAAAAATATGGTTCAGGCTTTAAAACCACAAAAGCCAAACTTTCAAACTTTATACAGAATTCAGAAAAATTCAACAAATTTCCGTTAACGTTTTGAACTTTTTAATCTGAATTTTTAGAAAAATTTTAAGTACGCAATTAAATCGGTTTTTCATTTCTAGTAAAACAAGTGCAAGTTTTAAGCAGCTAAAAAATTGTGTTGATTTTAAATGATTTTTCATTGCTGACGGCTTTTTCCACTTTTTATCATATAAAAGGAAATTTCGTGTAGAATAAAACACGCAAGACCGTTTGCAAAGAAATTAAAAAGAAATTAACGCTAAATTTTATGAATTGCACTTGTTATATGCCTAAAAGCTCAAAATCCGTCGAAAAAAAAATTTATTAAAAATCAACGCATTTTTTAATTTTTAATAAAAAACTTAAAACAGAACTGGACGACATTTGTATAAAATTATTTTTAAAAATAAATGTCAGAGATTCTTCCTTCGGGTGATAATAAAGATTCCGACTCCAGTTCTGTTTGAAGTGTTTTATTTAAAATTAAAAAATCAAGGGCTAGATGGATCACCCTATATATATATATATTTATATATACATACATATTATTATCTTAATATAGAAAGGCCTTATCATTTTTATGTCTTTACAGAGTAGCTACAAAACTTTATAGAAACTAAAGTTATTATTTTGGAAATGTTTTCAAAATATGGAATTTTTCAAATATTAAACTCTTAAACTGATTTATTAATGTAGTAGTTAATTTTAAATTGTATTGTACAAAGTTGAATTTTGAAAGAAAATGAGCTGAAACGCCTTTCTATAGTTAGTTAACGATATGTATGTAACGGGGTGCGGCAAAGCAGCCTTGGTGCGATTTCAAAGAAATTACTTAAATTTGGTGTCAAGTGAAGCCAATCCACCAAAATAACCTAAAATGATTCCGATTGATAGACACTGGGCTCTCGGTAAAAGAGTAAACTAGTTAAAAGTCTAGGCTGGGGTAAAACCGAGGGGATTTTTATTCTCCGATTTCAAAAATTTCCAAGGCCTTCATGCGATAAGAGCCAATGTGTGCAACTCATTTACAATAAATTTACTAAAATTTTATAAACATATGATTTTTGCACAAAAGATCGCTCTTAATATTACATCTGAGAAATGTGGCATTACAACTTCATTAGGCTTTGCATTTTTCTAATAAACCGTTATATGGGAGCTGGGCGTAGTTAGTATTCGATTTGAAACAAGTTGCTTTGTGAAATCTGGTTACAGAGATACCCACATTTGATAATCAGTGGGCAAAGCCATTAATAATAATAATAATAGATTGGCGATTAAAAATATCGCACATGTCTTCAAAAGAGTCACAACTCAAAATTTGGCATTTTCGAAAATATGCGCTACGCAGAGGTAAATAAGAGTACCTTTCAGCAAAAGCTGTTACTGTTTGGCCGAGTTTCTCCTCCGATTTATGGCGTGCGCCTTGATGTCGTCACACAAAAGGGAGGGACCATGAGTTTTACGCCGACTCCGAACCGCGGTTGTATTTTTTTGTGGAAAAGCTGTATTTTATGGCAGAAATACACTCGGTGGTTTACCATTGTCTGCCGAGGGGCGACCGCTACTAGAAAAATACTTTTTTGTTTTTTTTTTTCTTTTTAACCCAGACAAAGCCATTAAGTCTGTTCAGTATCAAAAGATTGTTGCAAGCTTATACTGGAACTTGCAATTTTTACTGGAAAACCGTTCAATAATCGAAAAAACGTACGGGAAAGCCAAAACGAGAGCGTAACAAGATCCAGCGTCGAATTCTTGCAAGTAAAAATTTCACTAGCAGAATTGTTTTTCTCAATTTTGTACTAACTTTGAAACTTAGAATTATGTGGATTTTATTAAACTAAAGGCCATATTTTTATAAAATATAAACGGAAAATTTTTGGATAAAAAATATATGCAAATAACAAATTTTGCTTTCATAAATTTTTGTATTTGTATAATTGACGGACTTCTATGAAGAATAGTAGGGTCATGTAGAATATATTTTGTTATTTTGCCAGATATATAGTTTAGTTTAGTTGATGTTGGAAATTTCAAAATTATCGTCATAAATTCTCTTACACAACATAAACGAAAGGCTGCTAGCCATTTTTGCGTATGCAATCTAAACAAAATTAAAGCAATTACTTAACACCCGGTTTTCCAATTGAAACCTTTTAATAACACAAAATTTTATGTTGACTAATTTTAATTGTAATTGTTATACATTGTTAATACAAATGTATAAAAGTTGCTAATGGCTCGGATCTATCGATTCTTGATTTCTTTAAAAAAAAAAATTTCTCTAACCAATTTGTATTTCCTACAGGTACAAGCCCTTAATTGTCTTAATGGGTGCTTCAGGCACCGCCGTGGCGTCTATGTTGCTCTGGACCCGTTCAAAAATTGCTCTCCAAATACTCGAGGCTATTTATGGTCTTTATTTAGCAACTGATGTTGCCTATTACACCTATATTTACGCCAAAGTAGACAAACAATACTATCCAAAGGTTACCGCTTACGTACGAGCCGCCGCGTTTTTTGGCAAAGTAGTTGCTGGTTTTTCCTCACAGCTTCTTCTTAATTTGAAATTAATGAGCCCTAAAACGTTGACTTACCTAACATTGGGCAGTGAGTATAGATAGTAGTACTTCATACATACATACATACATACATATGCACATACCGTACACGTTCCCCAAAAATGTATTGGCTCGAAATTCCGTTAAACTCATACGGGAAGGAGGCATTTACAACAAATTATACGAACTACATACATACTATATGTATATTTACTATACATACAAATGACCTGTGAATATTTTTCTTGCAAAATACATGCATAAGTATGTATGTATAGATATGTATATCAAAAAAGATTAGTTTTGAATTGATACACTTTTGAAGAACGTTTGCGTTAGGACTTACAATGTAATAAATGGGGCTCGGAATCTCATGCACTAAACAATTTAAAATATGCGTATTTAATATGCACTTGAAATTCAAAAATATGTGCTATAAATAAGTAAACAAACATAAAACGTAAATCAAAAAATCGGTGCCGTTCGGTTCAGTGGTTCGAAGCACTTGGAAAAAACTTGTACCGGGAGAAGAACCGGTTCATGAGTCTCCCTGAACTGCGGTTCGCTTCAAATCAACCCAATCAAGGGGAAATTAGAAAAATGTTCATAAACTCTTTTAAGGTTTGGACAGTCGTGAGCCTAGCGAATAGACAAAAACAGCACTACTCTGAATTTTGAATTGACACTCAAAATGTTATAGGGGCGAAATTACAACTCACGTATGTAGGTGCTAACAAAGAAAAGAAATTTTGCAGACAAAGATGTGTATTACAAGACAAGGAAAATGCTCTAGTGGATTTCATTTTGAATCGAACCGAACTATTTTCTGGGGTGGTTTTCGGTTCGGTTTTGGCATTTCCAAATAAAAACTGTTCGGTTCGTGGTTCGGTTCGAACCCCGAAAATAGCGACGATTCGGTTCAAAACCGGTTTGTAGCCCTGTTAAATTTGTTTATAATTAAGCAGGCAGTTATAATCTTGTGTAAATAGAAACATTGACACTTTCATAGTGGTTCAGATGAATGTTTGGTTGGTTTAAGTGGATTGTCACCCAGGTGACGAGCAATTGGCAAGTTTGCCGTTTTGATTCCACACTCGTGCAACCTACAGCCGTTTTGCGGTTTTAATGAATTTCAGTACGTCATACAGAGAGAGGCAGTTGCACGCAAGTGATAAATATCGGTAAGTTTTGCGTGGCACACATTCAGTGCTGAGCTGCACCTTGCTAGTTCCTCATTTCCGCAAATGGTCCTATGTCTCGGGACCCATATTAGGGAAATTTTGTATTGATCAGAGATATAGGCCAGCTCTCTACGACAGTCCTGCATTAGTTAAGTTCCAACAGAGGCCTCAATGGCCGCTTGGCTATCCGAGAAGATATTCAGATGAATATTTGGAAAAATATGAGGTAGTTTTCTGGTCTAGTGGTATCGCAGACAATTTAAATGGTTGTAAATAAAAAAAAGCAAAAATATGCACAAACGGGAATTTTTTTCAAAATGTGCGAAATAAGCATTTCTATTTGAAGATGACCGGTAAAAACATGCTTTTGCACGACATTCCGAGCCCTAATAATAAGTGTTAGATGCTGATATGCTTTTTTATACAAACATACACGTACATATGTACATACAATTGGTGGCAAAATAATGAAATAGTTGTGTTTGCAATCTGCGCTCAGAAAAAAGTCAGATAAATATAGTATTGCTCTCAATACATCATTTGGTAATTATAACCAAATAATGTAACTATAACCAAATCATGTTTTGAGGAAACTATATTTATTTAAGGTAGCTAAACTCTCTCTCAGTGTATTAAGAACAAAATGTACGAAAAATACATTACGCCAGTAAAATAATAAAATTGTATAGGAATTCAATATCAATGAAATAAGTATGTATTAAAAAATTTTTGTGTTGCAAAAATAACTTATCTTTCTGCTTGCATTCACTGTGTCTATAAATTAATAAGTCCGAAGCACAGATTGCCAAAATATACGACACTTTGATATGTATTCCTGCCAAAACTACCTGGTTAAAAAATATCTAATTTGCTCACATCTACAAATATTTACCTATGTATCTTGACCAGTCTCGGCTATGTTTCTTTTGTTTATTTAACGTTTATATTTTTTTTTTTATAAAAGTCTAACATATTGCATAACCAGCACCACATAAATCCACATTTCAAACTTCGTACAAAAATTCCACACACATTAACAATTACACCCAAAAATTTTCAACTTTTTATTCAGAATTTCTAGATAAATTTTAGGTATGTAGTTTTAGAGCCCATTAAATTTTTCAGCTTAAAGTGCAAATTTCAAGACGCTAGGAAATCGCGTTGATTTTTAATAATGTTTTCAATTTTCTTTTACAACCCCAAGTGTAAATCGTCATGTAACGTGGCGTTGCGTGACATACATTTCCATCGTTATATTTTTGTTAATATTGCTTTTAAATGAATTTTGAAAGCAAATTGTACATTTTCGTCCATATAAAATATGCTCGACAATTACTTTTATATGAAAGAAAATGCCTAGCACCGTTAGCAAAAAAAAAAAAGATTAAAATTAACGCGATTACCTAGCGTAATTTGCACGTTAACCTACTAAAATTTTATGTGATATAAAACAACATACTTAAAATTTGTCTAAAAAATCTGAATACAAAGTTTAAACATTTTGGGTGTAATTGTTAAAGTTTGTTGAATCTTTATGTATGTGTTGCTGCTTATGTAATGTGCTAGACTTTTATAAAAAAAGTATAAAAAGTAAATAGATAAAAGCAAAATAGCCAAAAACTGATCAAAAGACCTTAAACCAAAAAGCTTAATTTTTACTCGTCGCTGGCATTGAAAAGTTCATTTTGCCACCAATTGCTATATAAGTAAATAGATATACATATATCGATGGTCCTCTGCAATAACGAGACAATTCAAAATTCAAAAAATGAAAACTGTTACTACTGTTAAGTGGTTCTTGTCTATAATCCTTGTCTAATCCATTTCCATCCCTTATTAAAGTAAGCAGTAAGGATTGCTAAAGTAAGTACTAAAGATAAGACATGAATTCGACAAGGATTAGGGACATGAGCCACTTAACAGTAGCAACAGTTTTTATTTTTTTTATTTTAAATTGTATTTGTTTCGTCATTGCACTGGACCATCGAAATGTAGATACTTATGTAAGTATGCACACACATTTTTCAGCGCAAATTTTTACCACACTGTGGGCGTTCATCTTGCCCAAAGTCGATAGGAGTTTGTATTTCCACCGTAAGAATGACTTGGATGCTGCTGGGCAGCCAAGCCCGTCTGTGGGTTCATCAGCAATAGACGTGCAGGACACAAAATCAATTACCAGTCGCAACAATCAAAACGTCGCAACGCCATCCGAACCATTTAAGTTGCTCTGGTCGCACGTCTACAATGCTTACAGCAATTTAAGAGTTGTTCAGTGGAGTATTTGGTATGCAGTAAATCTGTGTGGTTACTTGCAAATCATAGCCTACATGCAAGTGTTGTGGATCGAAATTGAACCCAATATGGAAATCTCTTGGAATGGTGGCGTGGATGCTGTGCTCACATCGCTAGGAGCTCTAATGGCTCTGGCAGCTGGTTATATACATGGTGAACGATTGAAACCGCTGCAAAGTTTGTTGGTTTTGTCCGTTTTTTCTGCGCTAGAGGGTTGTGCTATTTTGCTTTGTTGCCGAACATCAAATATTTATATTTCCTATGGTGGCTATATACTTTTTGGAGCGCTATTTGCTTTTAGCATTACAGTCGCGAGGTATGCATGCATGCATATATTTTGATTATTAAGTAAAGATGAAAGCCGGAATAATTTTTCTTTTCTCCCAAGCAGCTCCCAAGTGGCACGTTATTTGATAGATGAAAGTTTTGGATTAGTGTTTGGTGTTAATACATTTTTCTCGCTAATATTTCAAACATTTCTAACGATAACAGTTGTTACAAACTCTGGGTTTGGTTTGGACACGCGCGGGCAGTACACTGTGTACGCGTTTTACTTCATTACGGCGAGTTGCGTCTGTTTATGTTCTGTGGCTGTGGAGTACTTCATTGGCAAAAAAGCGGAAAAAATGGTTACAGAGTAAAGTATAGTGTCATTGTTGCAAAATATGTAAGACGTAGATATACATATGTATGTATGTACATACATAGGTATGCACATCCAAATGTATGTATTTGATTGGATTAAATATTGTATATATGTATAAAGATTTTTTTTATTGTGTTCATATAACCGCGGTTATACATAGTAAATAATTAAATTAGTAAATAAAGTTTTTTTTTTAATTTCGTGACATTTTTATAAGGTACTTTATTAGTTTTAAATGGCGCTTTTGATTTTCATATACTACTAGCTTACCCGCGGTTTTTTACCCACGTTCCTATAAAAATATGCAAAATAAATAAAATATCTTGTACTGTTTTATTTCTGCCCTAATTTTCTTACATGTAATACTTATGTAGCTGAATATTTATAAGCGTTTTAGGTATTGCTGAGTACCAGGGTATATATGATATTCTGTGTAATATTATTTGTAGTATAAATAAAAAGGGATTTTGCTCCGCCAACTCTGGAGCAGGCTACACATAATTGACTATTCATTAATATGGGAGGTGCCACGCCACTTTTTATAATAACTCCAAGTTTTCTCCATAAACATGGAATCTATTTCATATGTAAGTAAATGTATATGTACGCTTCCAAAGATTGAAATATTGATTTTTTTAGCCTTTGACCATGCTTGGGATGTCTGCAGCGGATGTGTCAATTCTAGTTATGATCGGCAATAATTTGAATTTTATATACAAGGTGGCGCAAAAGTAACCTTGCGATGTTTTTTGGCTGTAATTTAAAAAAAAAATGAAAAACTTTGATTCTTCTTGTGGATTATTTTTATTTGGTCTTTTAATTTTTTTACATCAAGTCGAGAATATGATGTCATGTAAATGGCCGCCGCCACAGTTGATTGCCATTTGAGCCCTTTTTATGGCATTTTCCATCACTTTGGCCAAAACTTCCGGCGATAGGTCCTCACATTCTTGACGGATATTGTCTTTAAGAGCTGCAAGAGTCTGAGGCTTGTTGACATAAACCCGCGACTTCAAAAAGCACCACAAAAAGAAGTCTGGAGCGGTCAAATCAGGCGATCTTGCTGGCCAGTGCAAATCGCCAAAACGGGAGATTAGGCGCCCGGGAAATGCATCCTTCAGCATATCGGTTGTGGCACGTGCAGTGTGTGCCGTTGCACCGTCCTATTGGAACCACATGTTTTCCAATCCCAATTCATCAAGTTGCGGCAAAAAGAACTCGTTGATCATTGCTCTGTAGCGCTCACCATTCACAGTAACCGTTTGGCCCGCGACGTCTTCGAAGAAAAAAGGTCCGATGACTCCTCCAGCGAAAACAGCACACCATACAGTGACTTTGAGCGGGTGTAATGGCTCTTCGTGGGTTACACGAGGATTTTCAGTGCCCCAGAAGCGTAAATTTTGCTTATTTACGTACCCGCTAAGATGGAAATGGGCCTCATCACTCATGATTATTTTTGATGAAAAATCATCTTCCTCTTGGTGGTGATTAAGGATGGCTTGAGCGTATGTTAGACGCGATTGGCGGTCAGCAGCTAACAGCTGATGCACCGTCTGGACTTTGTACGGAAACATCTTCAAATCTTGTACCAAAATTCGCGTGGCACGTCGTCTGGTCGATGTCGACGGCGCTTCCATGACATCCTCGGCTACAGCAGCAATATTCTCTGCAGAACGGCTACTCCGGGGTCTGCCACGCCTGGCAGCATCTCGTGTTGTGCCAGTCTCTTCGAGGCGAGCGGCTAAACGTCGCAGTGTTTCACCAGTAGGCGTTGGACGGCCAGGAAATCTGCGACGAAATTCATGTTGTGCCAAAGTCACCGACCGATTATTAGTCAAATAAATAGTCAGCAATATTCCGCGTTCTGGAGCAGTGTAGCGTAACATTGTTTATTAACGTGTATTTCGCATGTGTTTACTACACAAATGTCAAAACAGAACTGACATTAGGGGCCAATCGCAAAATTTATAGCATTTTCTGATAGGAGGATTACTTTAGCGCCACCTTGTACATACTAACAATTACCCGGCGTGCTTCGCTGCGCCTTGAATGTATTTCTTCCCTAATATGTATGTATACAATCTCCAAAGACAAGGTGGTCTTGAAAGATCAGCTCAAGGCGAATTTATACAAGGTGGTGTTACTAGCGAATATAGATTTTCGCCACGGTACGTCTAGAAATCAAACCCTATATATGTACATATGTATAAAAAAATAAATGCAATAACATATTTTATAGCAGTTTAACAAGGGAAAACGGCAATGGGAATAGTTGCGAATATTTGCGTCTCTTGCAAGGTGTCAATCATTACAATTATACTAGGTTCACATATAAGTAGATTATCCTCATTTTCAAGCTTAAAACCCTAATCTGTAATTATAACAAGAGATCAGCCATATAAAATTCGTCCCTTGTTAATCTGTAATTATAAAATAATCTCAGATTTAGCCGATAACATTTCGGTGTCCATCCTAGTTTTATCGACTGTTTTTGCGAAAAAGAGGAGAAATGCCAAATGTAAAAATAAACAAAAATGTACGCTAGCAAGTAAAAGAGGTTTGTAAAGGTATTTTTAATAAAATGTTAAGTTAAAATGTATTTATATTGCTTATTATAGCAGAAAAACGCGATCACGGTGGCACAGAGAAGAAACATAACTTTTCCTTGAGATGTGAGAATAACAAGCACAACAAATTTGACGGCTAATAATCTGAGATTTGCCTGTGTAAACGGGGTGATTAAAAAACAAGCTTTGATTGAGATAATAATATTGATATGTGAACATAGTTTTAAATCGGTAATCGTCGGAATAGTTTTCGATTTAACATGCCAGTTCTAATGACAGCTCCGATTATAAACAACTCTTGACATTTTGTTCAAGAATCAGCTGTGGCTGTAATTAATTACGCTGGTGTCCATTGTTCGCATACAAGTTTCATTTACATAAATATAAAGTAAATTGGAATTGTTAAAATTCAATTCTTGTTGAGCATGAATGACGTAAAACGTTTAAAAGACCAGCAACGCGATAAACATCCCGGTTTCGACTCGTACCTCAATTGCATGACACGGGCTCTATTCACCGGTCTGGCGTCATTTTGTTTAAGTAAGTAAAACGGCGCCTAATTGCATAATTTAGATCTAGCCCTAATATACGTATTTCTCATTCGCTATTTTAGCATTTTCTGGCTGTTATTTTTCACAAAAACTGCTGCGTACGAAAATTCACTACCCCCTCCAATACAGCGTTTTACTCTCGGCTATAGTGGCGACTGGTGTGTCTTATACCACGACGCGCACTAAAGCCTGTCAAGCAGCTTGGATGGCAGCCGAAGATAAACATACTGTACTAAAAGAGGATAAATATTAAATAGGAGACTATTACATTAAGCAAACTAATAAATAAATATTTAGTTATAATACCGAAATGTGGCTTAGAAATGTTGCGAAATCTGCATGGCGTGGAAACTTTACTATCTACCAAAGCTCACAAATTGGGGCACTAGGAGGAGAATGCTGCATATTAGGCAATTTTAAGAGCCATCACATGTTAGCG